CACAAACAGTCAGAAAGCTTTTGATGGGCTGGAATGAATTCAAGTCAGTGGGACATGATGAACTTTGTTCCAGGGTACTGAAGGAATTGTCAGAAGAGATCTCAGAGGACTTGTCAATAGCATTTATGAAGTCATGGGAAATGGGTAAGGTACCAAGGGACTTGAAAAGGTCTACATAGTGCCCTTTCTTACATAAAAAGGCAAGGAGGAGGACCTGGAGAATGTTGGGAGCTACAGACTGATTAGCCTCACCTCAAGATACCCAGGAAGTTACTGGAGCATATCATAAGGAAGTCCACCTGCAAGCATCTGGAGACACAAAGGCTGAAAACAAGCAGCCAGCATGGATTTACTATGAACAAATCATGCCAAACAAACTCTACCTCCTTGTTCAACAAGATAACTAGTTGGTGGAAGAAGGAAATGCAGTAGATATAGTGTATCTGGACTTCAGCAAGGTTTCTGACAAAGTCCCCCCCTAGAGAAAGCTACAATTAGGTGGATAAGCAGCTGGTTCAAAAGCTGCAAACAAGGGTTAATTATAAATGGATCCATGTCAGAATGACAGCAGGTTACAAGTGGAGTCTGCCCTGGACCCAGTGATGTTCAACATGTTTATTAATGATCTGAATATTGGCATAAACAGTTTCTTAAGCAAATTTGCAGATGACACAAAACAGGCAAGGACTGCAAACACACTGGAGGAAAGGAGTGCAATTAAAAAAGATGTTGCATTACAGAAAGCCTGGAAAGCTGGGCTGGAGCCAACAGGCTCAATTCAATGCTGACAAATGCAAGGTGCTGAATCTCAGGAAAAATAGTCAAAAACACAGGATGGGTGACAACTGGCTGCATGGCAGCACTACAGAGAATGACCTAGAAGTCTTGGTGGATCACAGACTCAACTTAAGTTTGCAGCATGATGCAGCTGCACAAAAGGCAAATGCAGTTTGCCAATCCATCAGTAGAAGCACTAGGTGCAAGACATGGAAATGAATAAGAGAGTCTCTTTATTCTGAACCAGTTATGCCTCATTTAGAGTAATGTGAGCAGTTCTGGGCTTCAGATATTAAAATACACATGGATCCAAAGGCATGTGATAAAAATGATAAAGGGCTTGGAAGGCAAATCATGAGGACAGGTTGAAGGAAATAGATATGCTCAGCTTCTGGAAAAGACAATTGAGAGGGAACATAATAGCCATCTTCAATATCTGAAGGGCTCCCATAAAGGAGAGGGAGAACACTTTCTCTCTTGCTGCAGGGGGCAGAACACAAACCAATGGATTAAAGTTGCTGCAAAGTAGGTTTAGATTGGTATCAGGAAAAACTTCTTTACTGTTAGAACAGCGAGGAAGTGGAATAGACTGCCTAGGGAAGTTGTGGCATCTCCATCAAGAACAGGTTAAATAAACATTGGTCAGGGATGATCTAGGAGCTGCTATGCCTATGCTCTACTATATATTCCCCATGCCTTCTGGGCTTTGCTAATTGCCACCTGGGCCCAAGAAGGAATCGTTTTCCCCTCCTGTTGCTACACGTCCAGTTTTTTTTCTCGCCTTCCTCCAGAACACTGGGTGCTGGCTGCAGTCAAGGCAAGGGATTTTGAATGGGCTGTGCCAATGCTTCTGCTAGGACCAAAACCCAGAAGTTCCTGGCTAGAGAGCCTTGTCCCTCACCCCAGGGTCAGACCAATCACCACATTTGGGTTCAGGAAGTAATTGTACCCAATGTCAGAATAGTACAGACTGTGGAGGTTTTCTCCTTCCTCTGTAGTTGGGGGAGCTCAAGGCTCTATTAAGGCTGAATCTCCTATTGACACAGGGGGGCCAAATTTTACCCTAATGTAGGCAAGATAAACTGAAGCGAAGCTACAATGTAACTAAACCCTAAACTCCTCTTCTTCACGGTAAGGGTGGCCAAAATTTGAAATGGGCTTTCAAGGGAGGTGGTACTCTCCCTTACCTTGGGGGTCGTTAAGATAAGGCTGGATAGGCATCTGGCTGGGGGCATCTGAGCCCCGCCCTCTTTCCTCCTTTTGCCCCCAGCACTCTTCCCTGCCTAGGCAGGGGGTCAGACTCAATGATCTGTTGAGGTTCCTTCCAACCCTAGCGTCTATGAATCTATAAGAGCAGGGAAAACCCAACTTTTTTTCCTACTACAGATATGGCCAAAATGTTATAGCATGTAAAGAAGCATTCCTACTACTTAAAAACGAAGAATCCTTCTCCCCACATGCACATTCCCAGAAACACAGGGTGTACACAGACATCTAATTTAATCCGGGGCTGATTGTCCTAGGTTTTGACCCAGATCAAAACAGATGTTTATACCACTGGTGCCCAACCTTCTGACCCTGCAGACTGTATGAATGGTGCAGTTCAGTCCATAGGGTTAGCCCATGAGTCGGATCCCATGCTTCTCCAACCTGGCTATGCTTTATTCCAATCAAGCCTTCGGCAGCTCACTGGATGTCTCCTCAATCCAGGCTCACTCTGCCACTGCCCCTATCATGGTATCTGCTACCTGACTGCCAGATCCAGCCATTCATTGCCCACCACTCCAACTCAACCCCACACGACCTGCCACCGTAATCTGGCCTAATGCCACCCAATCCAGTTGCACGCTGCCAACCTACAGATCTAGCTGCGAGCCAAAATGATCTACAAGGCCCTCCACTAGTCTGGAAATTTGGCAGTAGGGGAGTGGCATTTACCACTGCCACTGCTCCTCCACTGCTGCCAAATTTCTGGACCCTGGGGGAGCCACACACGCTGGAGGATATGGTTCCAGGGGCTGGATCTGGCCCGAGTGCCAGAGGTTAAGCACCCCTGCTCTTCTGCCATTAAATGGCCAGATAGAGCACACACCCTGACAGGCTTATCCCTGGAATGAATCACTATTAAATGACCCACAATTAGCTTACAGAAACACAGAACATTGTGGGGGAAGGAAGTGCTAAAATATTTTATCCTGCCTACTTCACAAGTACTTGAAGTAGAACAATGGGTGTGAAGAGCTATAGGGATAAAAGGCTTTCTCCTGGGAGAAATACAACTTTACAGCCATGCAGGCAACCATTGATCCTCTGGATCATGGTGTACATGTAAGAGGTCTGGTGAAGTGTCTGATGAATCCGCTTGTGGCTGATGAGCCCAATTCAAGAGTGACACAATTTGTTACAAGTTTCACAGATCCATGTGTTGTCTGACCTGGAGTCCAAGTCACTTTCTTCTCTCTCACTTTGCTTCCATCCTCTGGATCAAAGCCACTTCTTGTTGAGCTGCACCCAGTACCAGATATTCCCTCCAGACTGGACAGGATTCTACGCACTGCTCCCAACTTTTCATGCTGATGTTGAATTACTTCCTATTTTTGCACACATCATGGCACTGCCATAGAGGACAACCCTGCTTTCTAGAGCCATCTTGAATCTCACTGCAACAACTTTATAACCATACACAAAAGCTAAATTTTTGTTTTGAAAGAGTGAGGCTTTAAATGGAATCCCTAGAATAAGGATGTAAACAGACATCACATTTCTCCCAGAAAAAAGCCTTTGTCCTGAGATCCTGGGATTCTGCAGACATACAAGTTCATTGTCCGACTTTAAGGAATTGTGAAGTACCCAAGATAAAATGTGCTAACGTTCCCCCCATCACCCCCACCAAGTTGTATACATTTGTGAACTCATGGCAGTTCATTAAGTTAACTGCCATGCAGGGACAGAGGTATCAGAGGGGCAGCAATGCAGCTTAGAATAGTGACATATGTACAGGGCTATGCTGCTTTTCATTTGTTCCAGGTCTTGACTTGTATCAGTCAGGACCACCTCAAATGAGATGTCTGTTTAAAGCTAGAATGACAATTAACTTCATTATGCAAGCAAGTTTCCTGTGTAAACCCAATGTATAAATCTTCCAGGAGACATGATCTAGGCCACAACACATCTGCTAAAACTCAGTGTGAAGTGCTAAATTATGTTTATCCTAGGATTAAACTCAATGAAGCCAAATTGATTGGAACTAACATCATCTTTCTTAGTCTGGGAAAGGTCTACTTTTTTTTCTTGGCTTTCCAACAATGATAAAGGATTACTAGACATGATGCAGGTATTTTATTTTTCTGACATAGTAGGAAAAAGTCTACCATACACTGTTTACTTTTTGAAAAATAAATATAGGGTTATTCGATATAAACAAGACCTCACATATATATCATCATTCACAAGTATGCAGTTCACATTGGGGGGCGTGAGGGTTGCAACTATGCAGGATTCTTTAAAATGTATGCTAAAATTCATGAGCAGTTATCCAACAATCTATGAAGCTGCAATAATCACATTATCATAGGAAAAGAAAAAGAAAAGAAAAGAAAAAAGAGCTGAACCAAGGAGGGATAGCCTAACAAAAGGGAAATGTAGTAAGCCACAGTTTTAACAAGTTTATGTAAAAAGCTGATAATAAATGCATAGTAAAGTCACACAAATCTTTCAGAACTTTACGTCAGAGGCTACTGCATTTCTTCTACTGTGAAAGAAATGTTAGTATAGTTATTTTTCTATAGTCAATAGTCACTGGCCTGGTAGTGCCAGCTATATATTTTAGCAATGTGTTAGATTTAAAAGTATGCATAAATTAGGTATGTAGCACCAGAATTTATTAGTTTAATCTTGAACCATCAGTACTAAGCCACCCATACAATTTTGTTTGTATCATACAGGCCTTCAGTTCACCTATAGAACAAACTCTGACCCTGCCCAACTCTTAACATACAATCTCAAGTGGTATGATTGCTATATAAATTTTAAATTACTCAGAGGAATTAAAAAGCCAATAATCAAGTAATTAAACCGATCTGACATTCAATTTTCCAAACCATATATACCCAAAACATATTTCAATGTTCCATTTAACTTTTTTATTCTTAACAAACCTACTGAGACCCTGGAGACCAAAAAGAATTATTGTTCGAATAAAGTAATAATTCTAAAGAACTTACATTTTGATCTTCACTGACTACTCCAGCTGTGCTGCCCAGCAATGGATTCCTTCTCATCTTTCTTTCATAAAGACTTTGTAGCTATAGAATATACTTTTCTCTTGCTGTCAGGAAACCATATTGTTGCACATACAAGTTAGGCATCTGTAGGTATGAATATACTTTCCTCATAAAGAGAAATTATAAAAATATAAAATAAAATATGCAATTTTCCAATAGACCATATAATACTTAGTAATTTTAAGGACTAAATAATATATATGGCTAGATATGCCTACTATTTTACTATGATTAACCTGGCATTCAAGCTTGAACTCAGTTAGATTTAAGTTGCTTTTCTACAGAAAAAACTTTTAACTCAACAAAAGGATTCTGTTTCCTAGTTTTAAACTCATGGAATTACATCAGTTACAGAAACAGCACCATGCATAAAAGTAAAAACAGAAGACAGAGCACACTACAAATAGTCTTACTTGATTTTAATGTCTTCAGCACAGTTCTTAACCATCCTGAAGGTGTTCTCACTTCAGTGCCAGTCAGGAAAAGATTCAGCCAACCATGGTGGGGAGCTAGGCACGGATACCTAGAGCACAGAAATTAGAATATATCCCTTAATGCACAACTAATCAAGCTGTTTTGTAGCTTCTTCTAGACAAGGAAAAAGAGTGGTTTTATGCAATCAAGTTAACTGAATAGCCCTGGACTAATATGTCCACACTGGAGAGGCGTTTTCAACAGCAGTACTCAGCACAATTGAAAACTCTATTTAGCATGAATGTAGAGTCCTTTCACTCCTTTAAAGACAACTTTCATTTTAACATTTTCAGCTTGACTCAGTAGGTAAGGTTGTAACTCTAGTTAATGTATGCATTAGAGATAAGTGGGGTTTTCAATCCAGTGAAGTTGATAGACAAAAGACTGAACCCTACGGTCCTAACATCCATTTTGAAAAAACAAATTATCTCCTAAAGCAAATGTTATGGTTGGTTGATTAAAAGGGAGGATTGATGCTCCCACTGTCTAAAGACATTTTTGTGGAGTTCTTTAGAAAACTGTCTCCACTTTTCAAGCAAAGTATATTGACATTGTTAACCACATGGGGTACAGAGATCAAAACACTGCGTATTGTATATGCAATGGGATTTTACAAAGGCAGGCTACATTTACAAAAGGAATTGAAGACACAAAAATTTACAGATTGAAGACACTGCCATTAGAGCCTCCATGAAAATTTAAGTTCACCTAATTCACATAAAACAACAAAATCCCACAAGGACTTTTCTGAGAAGTCATCCAGAAGGCCTATGAAATATTTATTACCTTAGTAAGACTGATCCTAAATACACAGCATCTAGAATAGTAAGAACAAGTTGAAGTGTGGTTGATGGAACATAATCTTGAGTTATTTCCTTTTCTTCTAATATTTAAAATTGAAGATCCTTTTCTAACCCAAATCTGTATTTGTGAATCAGGCTGTGTCACAAGTGCATAACAACTTTAAAAAATTGTAGTAGCAAAATTGTGAAAGACACGTTGTCTGAATTCAAAATTCTGTCCATTTTCAAAAGGTCCGTACTCTCACCCAGTTAGTTATGTGACAGTTCACCAACTTTTTAGATCTGTATACTCAAAATGATCCATTAAGCTAAGTGCTAAAATATAAAGTACATCATTTTTAAAAAATATGCTAAAGAGAAGTACCTAACTGACTACAGACTTGATAATTATATTCTCAGGTTTTATTTACAAAGTTGCAAGGTTTTTTCCCTGTAGATAGCATGTGAACTTCTTTTCTCCAGATCCCCGAGTTGTTTTCCCTTAGTTTAAGAGAAAAAAAAAGAACATAGGAAAACTGCTAAAAGAAATTAGTGGGAGACATTTTCATAAGATTAAGATCATCAAAGGAGCCAACTCAGTGTTCTCTCACCCATTTAATTTAAATGAACTATAAATTTCCAAACAGGCATTTAAATATATGTAATATTTGGTATGGTAATCCAAGAAATACAGACAAAGACAGGACACTTCTTAAGACTATTTAAAACAATTGTTAAAGAACCAGAAACAGAGCTGGAAAGGATTTTGAGAGGTCATCTTTCCTGTCTAAAGACCAAGTCAACTATACCAAAACCATTCCTGGTCTGGCAGATTTTTGTTTAACCTCTTATTTAAAGCTTCCAGTGTTAAAGGTTTCAAAACCTACGTATGTGATACTTTCCTATATTTAATTACTCTTACAGTTAGCAAGTTTTCCTAAAGCCTAATTTAAATCTTCCTTACCATAATTTAAGTCAATTACTTATTGTCCTATCCCAGTGGATATGAATAAGTTTATAACCTTCCCCATTTCAGCAGTCATACATATTTGAGGAGTGTTATCAGCTCTCCCCATAGCCATCTCTTCTCTAGGCAAAATAGACTCCATTTTCTCAATCTTCCGCCACAGGGCGTATTTTTTAGACCTCTGATCACTTTTCTTGCTCAACTGATCTAATCTCTTCTGCAGCATGGTACCCAAAAGTTGACACATTAGTCTAGCTAAGGCCTTACTACTGCTGAGTAGAGTGAAAAAATTGTTTTACATTTAATACATATAGGAGTCCTCTTTATATATCTCAGTATGTTTGCTTTTTCCATGATGATATACCCTTCTCCTTCTCCAAAATTAATTTTACTTTCCATAGCAGCCCTCTCTGGTAGCATTTTAAGTAGATTTAACTAAGGCTCATCTAAAGAAAATGTTCTCTCTCAAAATGTGAAATACTGAGTCAAAAGTTTTGATAACTATTCTGATGCATGTGAGTGGGATCCGTTTTGCATGTTTTATCTGCTTTGCTGTTTTTTTACCTTTTACCTTAAAAGTGATCTTGCTCAATTATTTCTAAATTCAACAGATTCTTGCATGAGGGTAGAAAATAAACCCTACTTTAAGTAGAAAAGAAAATATGTAGAGTGCAAATAGAGATAGGGCAAGAAGTACCCAATAAAACAAAACAGTGCAAACAAGGTTGGCAGGGACAAGAAGGTAACTGTGACTTCTGGAAATGTTACAAGAACTGTCAGTTGGGAAAGGGTTAACACCTTGGCAGTGTGCAGCCCTGATTGGGTTCCTGTCTTGCAAACAGTCCCTGACTGTCAGGGTTGTCCTTTTGTAAGGACTTGTCTATCACACTGTCCTCAGAACATGCAGTTCCCTGCATCAGCCACAAAGTGCAGCTCTGTGCTGGAGACGCCTATCAAGATCTAGTCCAACTCCTTGCAGTATGACAAGACAGTTCACATCCTTCACAGCCCAACAGACCCATTTTCAAATCCTTTACCTCAGAGCAGTAATATGTGGTGTTGCTGCAATTGCCCAAAGGCTGCCACTTCTTTGCCAATGGCCTTGTATGCCACCTGGTTGCAGTGGTTCTAAGGCTTTGTCCCAAAGTGCAAAGAAGTCTAGGATTTTGACATGGGGCCAACTTTAACAATGACAAGAACTATTCAGAGGTTTGCAGTGTGCACAGAAGCATATGTAGATCACATTCAAGCATGAAGACTGCAGTTACATGCCAGTATTTACATGGAAAAGTTTAAACACCTGGTCACTGTACTCTTGAAGGTGCACAAGCCACATACACAGAGAGAGGTCAGGTCACCAAAGAGTTTAAAGCAGTGTGGGATCACGTTTGGAGGGCCAATCAAGAGAGAGAGGTGTAAACACAAACAGCACACTAGGATGAAGACAGATCAAAATTTCTCAATTTACATCACTTCAAGGGGTTGTCACATAAATGCAACTTATTTTTATACTGGGCACAAAAAGAGTGTATGCAATGGTAACTTGTTCGTGTAGACAAGTCCTTATATAACATTGTGCTGAGCAAAAGTTACTGAAGGCTCTTGTCTACACTAGAGTTTCTAACATGGGTCATTCTTTCGACAACCTTTCCATTGTAAACAAGAACTTGGAGCTAGTAATCTAGCAACTTTTATAGCTAAATTCATATTTCAATAGACTTCTACACAGTAATCTGCTTCCATTATACCTGAAATGTAGTAAACTCTTTAAGAAAGGTCTGTTGTTTTATTCAACATGCTTTGATTTGGCAGAGGGCTGTATTAGCCGACAAAGAATGGCCAAAGGCAACAGGTCATAAAAATAAGTCCCAAATATACCAGTTACAGGACCCCGCTACAACACATTTTTATCTAGCAGTTTGATTAAAAGGGTTGTTCTATTTTGTCAGACAGCAGAGGTCACAGCAAACTTCCCACTGGGTGTATAGTACAAACCAGTGTTGCACTTTGGTTCCCTCAAACAATTTCAAATGTGGCACAGATAGTACCTAAAGCCTGACCTATACTAATATCTTAATGTTTTCACTGCTCCACATTTACAGCTGCAACAGCACCACTTCCAGCCTACATTACTGTCATATACGTTCCATCAAGAAAGAGGAGGAGGGAAGGGTAATACCATAAAAAAACAAATCTAAAGAACACTTAAGTATTTTCTTTACAAGTGCACTAAATTCTTAGTATGTCATGTTAAATAACAATTCATTTAAATGATCCATCCAGAAGTTAACACTTAGGTTTAACACCTAGGAAATAGGTGAAGAATGATTCAACTAACTCTCTCTCTCTCTTTTGTTTAGCTGGAGTCATCACCAGAAAATGTGGGCTAGGATTTAAGCTGAAGATTATTTTATTTCTTGATCATTTGCTTTGATTTTTTCCCCACTCATAACTTCAGCAAAAGAGGGGTACAAGTCTTAAAAGGTGCAAGTTGAAAATATGTTGAGGAGGGAGTATTGTAAACATTTAATAAGTAGCAATCAAATTGTTCTCATTGCTTAGCGAAGGAATGAGAGAAGGTCTCTAGGAAATTCAATGAAAACAAGCACATACTTTTAGGCAACATCTAACTCTACCAGTCAGTTGTGTTGAGGCACCTGACCACGGCATGGGTTCTCCTTTAAAGTGTATCCACAGTGCAAATGGAAACCATGCTTTAAAGCAGTGGTTCTCAATCTTTTCAGAGACAAGGAACTTCTCAGAAAATCCCAGCTCTTAGCTTTCACTTGCTTTAATTATGGACAAAATAAGAGTGCAATTCTTCAGGTGCAGAAAGGCCATAATGGGTCAGAACGTTTCTGAAGCTCTGGACTCCTATTCGATGTCTCTGGGTTTATCTGGTGAATCAGGTATAAGTGTCAGCACAGCTAACCATTTAATATTGTGCAGCACCTGGCACTCCTTTAAAGGAATGCAATTTCGAAAGCACGTTGTAAGCAAAACAGTGTCTCAGTGTTAGTCACAACTCAGGTGACTAGACACTGAACAAAATGAATGCGATTTCCTTCAAATATAATCTGTTCTGGCATCCAGTCAGTTCTCCTTGCAGCTTCAAAGGCCTGCCTTGGTCCAGCAGAAAAGGGTGGGCACTGCTGGCTTTTAACAGCTAGCTGCTGGAAGCTGCAAAGAATCGCACTAGACCTGCCCATGGGTTTAATTTTTAGGGGCTCCTTGCAAACTTTTGTGTTGAGGGATGTCTGAGAGTCAAGAGCAACTGTGAGTCTGGCCCAGGCTCAGTGCTC